TATATATATATATATAACTAAGATTTTTTTTCGCCAAAGTGTATTTTCTAACATAATTATAACATTTTTACCAACTCACATATATAAATTACAATTTCGACTATTTGTGAAATTTATTTTGTTATTCAAGTTTAATTGGGTTTGATATAAGTAGTAGTTCTTACAGTGTCAAAGATGATGAGGAGCAGCCTTGGAACAACTGCATGGGAGCGTGCAATGCACACTATAGAGAATGGTATGGAGAGGACTAGGTAGCCAACCACTATTGACATGGCTACCACAAAAAACCTGCAAAATATATAGGCAACAATTAAGTATTTTCTGATTATACATGCAAATATTTGCACAAGTAGAGTGTAGAAAAATGATGACCATAAGTGACGACGTTCATATAAGGTGATCATTAGTAACAAGATCACGAGAAAATAAGGCGGATTTCATTTATACTATAAACAAGTTAAAAATATACTGATAATTACTTACGTAAAAGTAGGGAGATCGTCGTAACCGGCTTCGAATTGAAAGAATTGAGTGAAGAAAGGAAGAGTTTCTCCAGCAGTGCCCATGCCAACAGCAGCACCAATGGAAGTAGCAACAGCTGCAATTCTCAAGATGAGATCAAAAATAGCAATGCCTCTCTTGGAATTACCAGCGCCCTTATCATGTCCAACAACAGCAGAAATAGCAGGAGTTGATCCCAAAAGTGGTGCTTTGCCTCTCCTTTCTAATTTGCTGCTCTCTCCCATCTCAATCGTGGTTGACTCGTGACTTTTCTCCATTTTGATCAAAGAGATAAAACAAATAGAGAACAAAAGAGAGAATTTTTTAAGTCTTGAGTATTGCTTTTGTTTTCTTGATTGCTCAATGCCTGTGATTTGCTTGCTTGTGATGAAAATGACAAGGTGGAATAGAGCTTATATAGAGAGGTATGAGGAGGGTTTGTTCTACAAGTAGGTTATATAAAAAAAATATAGTGCTAAAAAAGAATGAAATTTTTAAAACGAGGATTATCAGTTTTAAGCTGATGGAGCTAGCAAGGAGGAGTGATTATTTTTTTGATAATGGAGCAAGAATAGGAGTGGTTGTTTTATTCTAATCTAGAAATGAGATTTTAAAGGTTGAAGTATTCTTTTTAATTATAACTTCGTATTTATTTAGCTAAAGGATCAAGAAGAGTGGTTGTTCAATTGTATTAGCTAGTATTTGAAAATGGTTAATTTATTAGCGCCAAATCAACTTTACATCAGAAAGCAAAAAGGGGATGGGGGCAGATAGAATGAGAATGATTGGTGGACCAAGTTTGATACTATTTGGAAAACCATATCATATTACCTAATCTTATTATTATAATCCTTTGACTACCATTGCTATAATTAATTAATAGAAAACGGATTTTTATATAATGTCAAGACTAACTTTTTGCATGGATGAATAGATGAGCCAAGTCAAGCTTATTCATTCCCATGAGTTGACAACTAAACAACGAACTTCTCCCCTAATCCATTAAGCAAACTTTTATTTTCTCCACCCCCGCACACACCCCATCTAATACATTTCGTTGAGATAATTAATCCAAAAGGGCTTCTTAATAAAGTAATGGAAGAATTTTATCATAGGAATAATTACTTTCATGAATTCATCAATATTTTCTCTTTAGAGGGTTATCTTAAATACGGTGGCTCTCTTTTTCCTTTTTGTATTTATTTTTTTATAACTGATAACAGATACAAATAAAAATATTATTTCAATCATAGTGTCCCGTATTTTAGAGATAAATCGGGGGATTAATGAGAGTTGGCAATTCCTAGCCAGGCCTTCTTTCCATGGTTGAAGTAGACTAAGGATGGGGAATGAAATATTATTATTTTTAACATTTTATTGAGAAGGCTGACAAAATGTCAATTTCAGATTATGATACCAGGTTGGGCAAGTGTCTGATAATATTTTTCTTTTATTGACAAGTGATTGAATAAATTAGATATACTTTTTACCGGTTTACCTTTTAGTTGTTATTATTTGGATAATTAGGATAAATGATATTTAAACCTAGAAACTAATGGCAATCAATTCCAACACTCATTATGCTGTGTGTAAGCAGAAAGGGAGAAAGGTAAATATATGAAAATTGCATAGGCAGAAATCAGGTACTCAACGAATGAATCAAGCCACTTAAACAGCTAGTATTTATCTAAATTAATTTCTCAACTCACCTGAAATCAATAAAATAAAGAGGACACTCAAAATAGTTCTAAGTTGATGGTCCACCGAAAATCGTTTCTCTACCTCCACAAGGTAGGATAGGGTCTGCGTACATATTACCCTCCTCTGACCTCACATTGAGGGAGTATATTAGGTATGTTGTTGTTGTATAATAGTTCTGTTATTGTCTTGTGATGATAATCAAGAGATATACAAGAATTGCAAAAGACTCAACTGAATTTGAGATACAAAATTAACCTAGACTTGGTTGACCTAGAGCAAGCCAATTCCAACAAAAATAACCTATAATTAGATAGGGTGAAATAACCTATAATTGGATAGGGTGAAATAGATACACTAACAAGGTGTGAAATTAGGAAGCGAAAGAGGGGTAATGAATATTTCGGGGGAAGTGCACAGTTAGCCACTAATTAGAGACGTCCTTATTTTTTAACCACTGTTTAAAATGTATTTACTCTTTAACCAGTGCTTAATAAATTTTTATCCGCCGAGACAAAAATACCCTTGTGCTAGACATGAGTGTCGTGTAAATATTAAG